AGGCTTATTGGAGGAATTATCATCATCATCATCATGGTGGAGACACCAAAATAATACATTCTAGTCTCCTCTGTTCAATTCATCTTCGTCGACATTTATCTGAGACCGACGTGAGTAAGATAATAGAAAAAAGGCTTCTCTTTAAATGTATTTTCTCGGTTTTCAGCAGAATGTTTAATGTGCTCAATGGCATCTATGGGTTAAATAGCAAATTAAACTGGACTCTCTAGCCCTGTTTGGCAGTCAGTGTAGGAGAAAAACAACTCTGAATTGAAAGCCGAGTCTGGTTCTGAGACCAAATCAAGTATTTCCATTTGACAAGTCTTAATACTCGGAAGCCATTCCTTTCAGGGTTACGGTGCAGACATCAGCCACAGCATGTTGGCAGAAGCGAACAGATCAGATTCGTGGCGTTGAACAGCAATGGTATCATGAAAAAAAAAAGATATTTCATACTGGACAATAGATGAGACTTAATTATTCCGTGTGTGATGAAAACTCTGGAATCACATCAAATAGTTCCTTATGTTTCGTGCCACGGGCTTGGAGATCCCACGTTAAACCGGCCTTGTGCCACATGATGTCCTCGTGGGGGGGGGGTGACTAAATACCGCTCAGTGAGTTGGTCTGATTTCAGTCTGAAGTCGGACGACCGGCTGACCGGTTGAACTCTCTTCCTTCGGGCGGGAAGGAACCCGAACGAGGCTACGCCGAAGGGCGGGTCTCTTTCGGGGAGGTAAACCGACCCTGAAACCGTTTATACGAATTAAAAGGGCATATTTTTGGAGATACCACGTTAAACCGGCCTTGTGCAAAATGATGCTCTCATAGGGTGGGCCTGAATACCGCTCAGTGAGTTGGTCAGTCAGTCGATGTCGTACGACAGTTAGTCGGATATTAAAGTATCAGCGACCCCAACTAGATTTCTCTGCGTCATTACGTATTATATCAAGTTCCTAACGGTTTTGTACGTCGAACCTATTTTAAGACCGACTTAGTGAAATACAAGCCTCCACTGTGAAAATTACTCTACAACAATAACAATCCGTTCACTTAAGCGGCGTAAAATAACCTGCAATCCCCTGAACGTTGTAAAATCATTAAGGCCAAGGTATATATATATTTATTACAATTAAGCAATATTAAAAGCGGCCACTGTCGACTCCGCAGTAAACAATTGCTGGAAACACGGGAATGTTCTTCTACCGCTGGCGCTATTCATGAAGATGCGACGTGAACAACGGCCGACGAAGTTTACGCTTGATGCGCATCTAGTTACGGGCAAACTAGGTTGCAACGGCATGTTGGATGCTTGGTCTAAGGTCCACCTGGGTTATGCCATTCCGACTAACGCTGACCTCTTCCTCCAGTATATACGCGAAAGCGTGGAGATTCGACGTGAACAAAGCCTCAGAAGTCCCAAACGACCGACGAAGTTATGTAAATAGTGCACATAATACCTCATCTCAGAAATATAGACAGATGCTGAAAGGCCGAAACGTTGTAATAAATATGGCGACAAAGATGAGGACAATAGTCCGAATGATGTAAATAGTGTACATAATACCTCATCTCAGAAATATAGACAGATACTGAAAGGCTGAAACGTTGTAATAAATATGGCGACAAAGATGTGGACAATTGTCCGAATAATGTAAATAGTGTATATAATACCTCATCTCAGAAATATAGACAGATGCTGAAAGGCCGAAACGTTGTAATAAATATGGTGACAAAGATGAGGACAATTGTCCGAATAATGTAAATAGTGTATATAATACCTCATCTCAGAAATATAGATACTGAAGGGCCGAAACGTTGTGATGAATATGGCGACAAAGATGAGGACAATAGTCCGAATAATGTAAATTGGATATTTTCATCTATGTTTTTTCTTCTTCTTGGACGTTTGACGTAGGATTTGTGATTCTGATTTTTGCCTCTGCTGCGCTTTTTTCTTACCTTTTGGATCTGTGAGACTGTATTTGCAATATAGACATTTCACCGATCCTCTTCTTGTTTTGGACATTTGTGATCAGGCACACAGATCAGTTGTTTCAGTGGCAACCTGTTATTAGCAAAGAATGAATCATCTCTCACACTTCGACTTTGTTTACACGATATGCCATACCAGCGATAACCATCTGTTGCTTCTTGATAAGCATTTAGCACAAAAAAAAAAAAAAAAAAAAATGCCCGGTTCAAATGTCGGCTGTTTCGAATAATCCGTTGCTAACCAACACAGCCCAATTATAAGCTCCCCGAAGATGATCTATAATAAAACAAATCTACTTGCAAAATATCTTCTCGTCATAATAATTCATTCGGATTAACAATCGACTTTTTTTACCATTTTATTTTACGCCCTTTAAGTGAAGCAAAATTTTGACGGATTATTTTCTTACGGTTTATCAACCCTTTGCCGGTTATTTACAACCAGAAATTATTTTTACGTTGTAAGATTTAAAAAAAAAATAATTATGATTTTAGTGTTAGAAGTTATACTAATTAACTTATAGCCGAAGGACGGCAGAATAAGTAGATTCATGCCTTTCCCAAGAGTTTTTGAACATAAGTGAATATAACGAACCCAACTGGAATTGGAACTCAGCTCTACACCACACACATATCCAAGCTTACAGCACCTGGTATTCCAAAGCAGTCACCCATCTAAGTTCGACGTTGCTTAACTTCCGTGATCATACGCGGACAGATGTTTCAATGTAATATGGCCGTAAGCTGACATATTATTTTACGCTTGTATGTGAAGGATTATCAAAACAAAACAAATTTTGGCACATTTATATGGACAACGCCTTTCTTTCCTTTTCCTACGTAAGTAATATAGTATCCAGGATTTCAATGAGCAAAATGTCATTCAGTGGTATGTATAAATACATTCTACCTTACAAAGGTTTTCTTTCGTTTATATCGAATTAGATTTTTATTCATAAAAAACTTTTACTACAAACATTATTTTGCCGATACCCATGTTTGAATAGACGCCCTGTTTTTTTTTGTTTTTTGTTTTCTTAAGCAGTGTAAATTACCTCCGTCGGTATTCACAATCAAGCTTTAATAAAGAAAATGTACTCTGCGGCGGTGATCCAACCTCTATCCTCCTTTATAATAGAAACCACTATCTGATGCAGCCTGCTCTCGACTGTCTTTTGTCCCAGCCCAACAACCTTCATTTACCATTTGAAGAACGCCTACAAAGGAAATACGGGTTCAAACTCTGCAGCGGGTTTTCTAAAATAAGTTTCTCGGATTGACAAATTCAAAGTGTTAAAGAAAACAACAGCAAAAAAAAATACAAGGCGTCTATTCAAACATGGGTATCCACAAAATATCGTTTGTAGTAGCAGGAAATAATATCGGATAAAAAATTCCACTGAGTCCTTAAAAATAACTTTTTTGTTTATGGTAACAGAAAAATAGAAAAAAATATGAACACATATCGGCTTTCCAGATCTGAACGAATGGATCTGCATTTTTCAAACGGGTATTTGAAATCTTGATGCACTGTTGCACTTTCTATGATCGAGCGGTCTAACGAATACCAGATAAGGTGTTAGGTACTCCTACGGGCGTGACACAGGCCGGTAGATATAATTTAATAAACAGGGCGTCTATTAAAACATTGGGATCCACAAAATATTGTTTTTGGTAGTAGGAAATAATAGTGGATAAAAACTTCCACTGATTTCTTAGAAATTGTTTCGTTTACGAAAATAAAATGAGCAGATATGGACTTTCCAGAAAAATCTGAACAAGAATGTGTGCGTTTTTCAAAAGAATAACTGAACCGGGCTGGGTTTTGGAAGTTTTCTGACCTTCCAGGCCCAATTCGTCGAATTTAGCTGCCACGTCCATTTCGTCCAATTGAGCAGCCAAGCCCAATTGAGCTGCCACGTGCAATACGTTCAATTCAGTTGCCACGTCCAATTGGTGCAATTTAGCTGCCACGTCCAATTTAGCTGCCACGTGCAATACGTTCAATCCAGTTGCCACGCCCAATTGGTCCAATTTAGCTGCCACGTCCAATTGGTCCAATTTACCTGCTACGTCCAATTCGTCCAATTGAGCTGCCACGCCCAATTGGTCCAATTCAGTTGCCACGTCCAATTCGTCCAATTGAGCTGCCACGCTCAATCCGTCCACTTGACCCGCCATGTCCAATCCGTCCAATTGAGCTGCCATGCCCAATTCGTTCAAGCCACGTTTTTTTAATGAATATAATCGTATATCACTACAAATTAACCTTGAAGGTGTAAAAATAGACATTACGGAAAATTGATTAACATGAAAAGTAGGGCAGTGTGTCCATACTAGCAGGAACATTTGAAATCATATTTTGTATGCACTAGGGCAGAGATAGGTTGAGTTGAGTAATTATTGAATCTGTCTAACTGTGCGTCTGTAATCGTAAAACATACTGGGAAGGGTGCTGGTGATTTCACAAATCTTGCTCTCATTTCGATACCAGCGTTAGAATCCAGGCATGTGATAGTAATACGTAAATGATTGAAATATAAAAAGTGGTTTTATGTAGAAACAAATTAATAATTATTTTTTAAAAAAAATCTCTTGCTGTTATGGAAGAGACAGATTGCAAAGATAATTTTGTTCTAGAAATGAGAAACTTAACGATGTCTGTAAAAACAAAAGCAAGGAAATGATGAAAAAAAAAGCTGGATGGAAAAGGAAGAGAAAAGACAGAATCAGTAAAGTAGATAAAAAAAAAGATATTGAAGACAATATTGGAGACATCAGGGCAATGAATCTCGTTAGAATCGTGCAAGAGCGAAAATTTCCAGGTAAAATCGAATAGAAAAAAGGAAGAGAAAGAAGTGAAGAGAAGAGAAATGGTATACAATAGAAAGACTGGCCTCAAAGCGAACGGAAAGGCAGAGAATGATTTTGGAAGAAGGAAGGGATGAAAGATTAAAGATAAGCTCACGGATTATGGGCAAAATAAGACGCCTGAGAGAATGGAACTAGAAAACTAATAAACTGAATGAGAAAATGAAAAAGAAACGAATGGATTCGGATGAGAAGACGGGAAAAGAAATGGTAGTAAAGAAAAGAAAAGAAGAGCGAGAGAAATGAAGGAAGAATAACACAAGAGAAGAGAAAAAGAATATGGTAAAAGAATAACTTAAAGAAAGAAAGAATGTAGTGAGAGAAAGACTGCTAAGAAAGAAAGAAAGAAAGAAAGAAAGAAAGAAAGAAAGAATAAAATATAGCAAGAGAAAGATTGCTAAGAAAGAAAGAAGCACACAGAAGAAATAAAGAAGGAAAGATGGAAAGAACGAAGGAAAGAAAGAAAGAAATTAAAAGAATGTAGCAAGAGAAAGATTGCTAAGAAAGAAAGAAAGAAAGGAAGAAAGAAAGAAAGAAAGAAGCCCACAGAAGAAATAAAGAAGGAAATTAAGTAGTGTTAAAGAAGGTAGCGAAAGATATATTGCCAAAAAAGAAAGAAAGAATGTAGAAAGATGAAGAAAGAAGCACACAGAAGAAATAAAGGAATGAAGGAACGAAAGAAAGAAAGAAAGAAAGAAAGAAAGAAAGAAAGAAAGAAAGAAAGAAATAATTGAAATGTTTAGCGGGAAACATACACAAAGAAAGAAAGAAAGAAAGAAAGAAAGAAAGAAAGAAGCACACAGAAAAAATAAAGAAGGAAAGTAGATAATGGTAATGAAGGTTGCGAAAGAAATATTGCCAAAAAAGAAAAAAAGAATATAGAAAGATAAAGAAAGAAGCACACAGAAGAAAGAAAGAAAGAAAGAAAGAAAGAAAGAAAGAAAGAAAGAAAGAAAGGTCGAACGAAAGAGAGAAAAGAAAGAAATAAAGAATGAAAGAAAAGGATGGAAATGAAAGAAAGAAAGAAAGAAAGAAAGAAAGGCGGAAGAAAGAAAGAGAGAGAGAAAGAAAGGACGAACGAAAGAAAGGACGAACGAAAGGAAGGGATGGAAATGCAACAAAGAAAGAAAGAAAGCAAGAAAGAAAGGGATGAAAATGAAAGAAAGAAAGAAAGAATGTAGTGAGAGAAAGATTGCTAAGAAAGAAAGAAAGAAAGAAAGAGAGAAAGAAAGGACGAACGAAAGAAAGAAAAGGATGGAAATGAAAGAAAGAACGAAAGAAAATGAAAAGAACGAAAAATAAACAGAAAAATGAAGGAATGAAATCAAGAAAGGGAAAAATAAAAGAAAAAAAAGAAAAAGAAAGAAAGAGAGAAAGCATAATGAATGAGGAAAAAAAGATGAAATTCTTCACTAGTTATCAAAGAAAAATTCCGAAAAGATTGTATCGAAATAAATAAATAAAAAAATAATATAAAAAGAGAAAGAAAGAAAGTATTACAAAAGAAAGAAAGAAAGAAAGAAAGAAAGAAAGAAAGATAATACTGGAAAAGAATCTAGCGAAAGAAACATTGACGAAAATAATAAAAAAAACAGAAAGAAAGAAAAAGAAGGAAAAAAAATAGCGAAATGAAAGACAGAAGACAAAAAAAAACATTAAATGAATGAAACGCTTAAAGAAACAAAGACGAAAGAAAAGAAAAGAAAAGAACGTAAAAAAGAAATTAGTAAAATCTATTCCGATTAAATCGCAGTAAAGAAAAACAAACAAACAAAAAAAAAAAAAACAGGCGAACGAAATCTGTCAAAAGCAGTTGATTACTTGTTGACAGGCGTGCGACAATCAACGGCAACAATTAAACAAAACAACGACAAAACAAGCGACCACGTCATTTAATATTGACATTTATCATGAAACAGAAACAAAACAGGAAAACGCATAAAATAGTGAATGTTTCGACGTATTTGTCCCTACACAAAAAGTCTTATATATATGCAAAAGTTGCCAGAACTCTTTTTCAAAAAATAGAGACCCCCATCTAAATAAACTTTCTTTGGCTGTAGGCATTTACAAAGAACGAATATATATATAGAGAGGAAAATATAGTTTTTAGGTAGTAGCTACAGTTATGAGAAAAGGTGCTCAATATCATGAATAGAGCGTATGCAAAGATAAAAGATGGCACTGAGGTTAACAACCAGCGGTTAAATGCAATCTACAGGCCATATATATATATATATATATATATATATATATATATATATATATATGTGTGTGTGTGTGTGTGTGTGTGTGTGTGTGTGTGTGTGTGTATATAAATATATATATATATATATATATATAATTATTTATATATTATATGCGTGGTACTTATTAGAAAGCGCTCAATATCAGAGATAGAGCTAACATATTTGGTTGGATAGATGTGCGTTTTACCTATTATAATTTTACACAGACCCCACCACACGTATATACATACATGCGCGGAAATATTATTCAGTGGAAAAATAGAAAAATGCTCTGATTTTTGGCATGTATACATTCACGAGACATTCACGAGAAATTTGCGCTACACTTCCAATCTTTGAATTTCAACATACAAATGCGTATGTATAGACCCAACACCACCCATCACAACGACGTTTCCCCACCACTTCCACAATAACACCAATACACGCAATCTACATAAACCCAAAATTTAAAAAAAATTAATCAGTTTGTCTGACGATCGCAAAAGCGTGAAACCCAGGGTCACAAACTCACACCAATCAACCAAATATATATATATATATATATATATATATATATATATATATATATATATATATATTATATATATATATATATATATATATATATATATATATATATATATATATATGTGTGTGTGTGTGTGTGTGTGTGTGTGCATCCATATATATATATATATATATATATATAAAGGATATTACATCGAAAACATGTCAAAATCGCTACATAATTGCAGTCTCATTCCGATGCGTATAAATGCATCTCATGAGGCAGTTGAAATTACTGTCGACTGAACGATTCCCAGTAATTTACAATCGTTCACTTGCCAGTAATTTACAATTGTTCACTTGCCAGTAATTTACAATCGCCTGATGAGATGCATTGATACACATCGAAACACGACTACAATTGTGTAGACATTTTGACATGTTTTCCGGGTGAAATATAAGATATGAACGCTTAAGATTTTTTAATTTATCATCACACACACACACACACACATATATATATATATATATATATATATATATATATATATATATATATATATATATATATATATATATATGATATTATATTACCTAAATTCCTCACTGGTGTTTCTCTCTTTTCTCTCGAGAGATACAAACCTGACGCATCTTTACATCTTTTTTATCTTTACATCTGTTACAGAACTCAGGATTCTAAATGTTTATTGGCGTCTGTTACTTATACAAAGATGCCAGGGTTCTCTTAAAATCTTTTGTTGCTCACTTGACTCAGATTACTTTCCCCAGCGCGCATAAAGAGGGCTCATGAATTCAATACGATCAAAATGATCAAGCCCTTAATACTTTGAAAGAAATGAAAAACAAGATAAGAAAAGACTCCGAATCGACACAATCAGCGAATATATATTTGTTGTTGTTGTCGGCATCCGCTCTTATCCGATCATCGGGATCATCATTCTCTCTTCCTATTCCTTTTATTTCTCTCACCCCCTTTGCGGGGGCGGAGATGAAAGTGAATCGAAGAGTGCTTGACGCGGCTATTCGCGTGAATGACATTTTAGTATACAACTCTGCACGACGGAGAAGCAAACACACTAGACCAGAAGCGCCTCCCTTGCAGCTCAAAATAGGGTTGAGACAAGCAAGATCTAATAAACCTGGTTGCAACGGGCTGTCGGATGCTTTCTCTGTCATGATCCACCTTCGTTACGCCAGCCCGACTGACGCTGCCCTCTTCCGCCGGTTTGACCTTTGAGATCATGTAGATCTTTGCCTATTCCGCCGTTGGGGTCTTCTGGGTTTCAACCTAGTCCTTCCTGTTCGACCTTACCACCATAGATGGCTTTACAGCAGTTGGAACTCCAGACGACTTCGCTTTTGGGATCATTGGGACAAGTAAGGCCTCTACCATGACAACGAACGAGCATTATATATATATATATATATATATATATATTTACCCTTGATGTCGGAGTGGAAAGTTCGTTATCAAATGAACCACATTAACTTATGGTTACTTTAATGACAATAATAAAAACCGGGGTCTTCGAGTGTTGGTTAAAGTTCAGTCTGGTTGTCCTCCACGATCTTGGAACTCCAAACAGCTTCACTCTTGGGATCAATGGGAAAAGTAAGCCCTCTACCATGACAAGGAATGACCATATATACACATCTGGTCAAAATCTTAAGACCAGATACAAAAGGGTTTAAAAAAAATAAAATACTATTACTTAAATCTAAATATATTTGCGAATCATTTAAGTTTAATTATAAAATGTAGTTTATCAACAAACAAGTGAAAATTTTAAGCTTTTAATTGATTAATTTAAACAAACATTGGAAAAAAGGATTTTTTTTTTTTGGTTTATCATAAAGATAAGACCATGTGTGAAAAAAAACAAATTACTGGACAAAAATTTTAGAACTAGTCAGTACTCTCATAGCTTCGGTCGTGTAGACATCTACGAAGCTCATTTCCAGTATTAAATTTCAGATTTTAAAATGGCAAAGAGTAAAATTTTAACAAAATTCGAACAGGGCTGGATTGTTGAACTTCAAACACGTGGTCTTTCGCGGTCGATTAAATTTTATGATTAATAAAGATAAACTTTCAGGCTGATGCTAACCTCCAGAGGAATAACACATTGCGCTATGGAATCTGTTTACTTATGATTTTATATTATTACTATTTCATTTTTTTATAATTTTAAGGAATCATTTTCTATAAATCACACTAAGTTTTAAGCTAATGTTAATGCTGTCTAGATATCTAGAAATGGTAAAGTATTATTTTTTTCCATTTCATATGTAAATTCTATTGTATATTCAATTTTCTTTAATTCATTTACAAAATCAGGTAAATCAGTATCACGGGGATATATTAACAGAACATTATTAATATTACGGAAGTATCTTGATTGTTACGGTAAAATATTTTTGAAAGAACCAGATTCAATAATTCTAAGAAAACACATGCCATCACTCCTTTGAGGGCTGACCTCATAAGCAATCCAAATATTTGTATACAAAATTTATTTAAAAAAAAAATACTTTACCTTTCCTAGACATGCTGCACCATGTTAAATTGCTTAAAATTTAATATCTACCGAAAATCTAGTAATAGTAATCTTTTGATCTCATAAATTTCTATTCTCACCATAATAACAAAATAAAATCTGCTATAATCATCGGATTGTACTTAACAGCACTCAGAATTTGCAGCCATCAATATTATGTGAATATATATATTTCTTATTTTTTTAATGTCATTTTCTGTAAGTCAAAGTAATTATTTATAAGTTTATCTTTATTAAATATGAAATCTAATGAAATAATGTCGCCTCTTATTATGTGTATATATCGTAACATTTACGTCCAAACTTCGTATACGTCTTAACAATCCTTCTGCTTTTACTAACGGCATTGTCCGCTTGTACAAGATGACCCCTGACGTTTACGTCTGTGTACCAGCCTCTTATAAGACAAGACTTGATAAGTGCGTCAAGGGCGGTAAAATCAAGAGGCCCTCATCCCAAGTGTAAAATGAATCTCACTCCTGTTTCTACTTTAGTAGTTTGTTTTCTATATGACGAAATCTTCTTAACTTTACCAACAATAGTACCGTCGAGCCCTCGCAGACATCTGGGGCTAATTGTCTAGTTTTTTTTCTTCTTTTTATTGAGTTCCTGTAATGGCGGCCGATATTAAAAGCAGCTGCTGCGCATGTCTGCGGGGGAACGCGTCTTTAATAAGTGATTGAGTGTAAGTAAGGATAGAGGGGAAAAGCAAGAGGAAAGGAGGGAAGAAATTGAAGGAAAAGTCTCAAGATTTCGTGAGGTGAAAGGGAAAAAATATGAGAGAAGGAAAAAGAACGCGAAATGAATGAATGACGTACAAAGTGAATATAGAAGAATAAAGACAATGAATGAAGATAAATGAAGGAAGGGAAAAAATGAAAAGAATAAAGAGAGTGAATGAAAAAGAATAAAGAAGTGAATGAAAAATAAATAGAAAAAATAAATTTATATGAAAAATAAAATGAAAGAAGAAATGTAAAGAGAATGAAAGAAGATGAATAAAATAAGCGAATTAAGAAGGACAGGGAAAATGAATGAAGTAGAATAAAAAGTTTGAATGAAG